CATTGGTCTTATCAACACCTCCAGCGGGAGTCGAACCGTGACAGTGCCGAATGGGAGCTTGACAAGTTAACCACTCAGCCACATTGCCACAAGTGCCCTTGGGTCACGGGGCAGATGTGAATTTCAAGGAAGGCCATGCATTTTGCCATATCACATTCTTTGGTAGGATTGTCGATGAAGCAAACGTATATTTGCTATAACAATCGACTACGCTACTTATTTTTCGTGTTTGAGTAGAGTTTCGATGTACTCACCATATTTCGTTTAAGGTAATGAAGGACTGGCTTTCCAAAAAGGTGTTCAATGGAAACCTTAGCTCTACTCATATCATTTTGGAAAAATTCTTCTACCAGTCCTTCATCACCTTAGACGAAATAGGGTGAATAGATTTCATAGTACTGATCTACTGGTAGTCTTGAAACTCTACTTAAACACGAAAAATATGTTATTTGTGTTAATACAATTCTCCACTTACCAAACGGATTCTTCGCCAATGTTTCCGTAGTCGTCTCGCAGGGTTCACTTGGTCCCTCTTTGCTGACGGCAGTGACTCTGAAAAGGTAGCGATTGCCTTCTTCCAATCGGTTTACTGGACATTGTGTACCACGTGTAACCTCAGACACCGTCTCCCAGCGGCCTTTTTTAGAGTCCATTTTTTCCACCAAGTAGTGTCTGCCGATTGTAAAGGCAGTCATATTAATGATTAAATAAGTTTAAGAAGAGTAGCAAGCAGCTGCATTGAGTCTACAAATTAGTTTATCTCCACTTGTTTTCTTACTGATAAGCATCAATGTTTAAGTAATTCTTGCAAAAATGGATGAAGAATTTCCAAATGATGCGGTTAATCCTCGAGTTTTTTAGTGTAAGGGAAATCATGCATTAGGGAATCGGCGAATGCTGAACCCTCTCTAAAAAGCCACACAATAGCATGTGGAGCAGCATAAATGTACTTCAGTCTAGGTTTGTTCATGTGATACTTAGTTAATGCAAAATATTGTTTGTGTAATGTTGAATAAGACTTTCCATTCTCTAAGTTTAGATCGGCGTAAATTTGTGAAGAGAAGGAACCACACGAATCCACATATAGCAAGTTTTAATAGTATAAATGCCGCAAAAGCGGCAGGGTTTGTGATAGAGATAAACTATATGACTATTCCAACAGAAGAAATGTCCGACGGCAAAATTCCATAAAGCTCTCCATTCATGTAATAAGTTTAGAATTATATATTTTGAGCTACTGGATGTTTCATAGTTATCTGGTCAACATACTCCAGAAAGGCCTACTGCTTTCACT